TAAAAGTTAAACATTCTAAAAATGGAATTATTAACATAAACCAACAAAACCCACAACCACATGATCAAGTTTAAATAGCACTGGAATAGCTGCGCTTGATTGTAGTTGGCTTCACAAATGAAAAAGTGGAAAAAGCAACAAGAATTTAAAAGGTGAACTTAGCACGGTGCTTAGCACAAGCTCAATAAAAATTTTTGAATATAATTGTTATAAGGCCATAAAATAACAAAAACAAATTGAATAGTACTATTATTGAAAAGTGCCATTTTGGCACTAAGTGCCAAAATGAAAAATTAAGTGCCATTTGATGTACAAAAGGGCCAAAAATGCCAGGGTTTGAGCCAAGTTGGTAGCCCTGGTCAGGAGTTGAAGACTTGCTAGTGCTTGTGTTTCGACTATATGGAGGCAGGTAGAAAAGTCATGGTGATGATTGATTAAAAAAAAAAACGGTTGGACTTAGAGAGGGAAAAGTAAAAATCATAAACATAACATTATATACTCACCCCCCTTCTTCACAAGCGCTACATTTCCAAAGAAATACGGGAATCGGCGCGATACCGGCTACTCAGTTTTGTTGCCTTTGGCGATTAACCCATTAAAGAAAGTGTTCCTTTTTCAACTGTAATCAATTACTTAAATATCGTGGAATATTTAGGTAAAGGTATTTATCATTTATTTGGTACTTTCCTATTTCCTTACCAAAAAATTTACTTTGAAGTGTAGATGCTAAAGATTATTCAACCCTATTCTGCATTTCGACTCGAATCGAAATTTTCTCCATTTGGTATTCTGCGTTCCGTTTCGTTTCGATCAATCTTCGAAATTTACGATTGTACCTATTCTACATTTCGATCGTAGTTACGTTTTTCGAAGTTGCAAATTTGTTGACGGAGAATGTTTCGATTCGATTTTCGTGGGTTTAAATATTAAAATTTTAATAAAAAATAAGTGAAATATACTGTGCATGATTATAAAAGTCATCAGCAATACGGACAATACAAAAAATTGGCCCAAATAATGGCAACGAAGACGGATATTGCGCAGGGTTTTCAAAGAGGAAGTCCAGAGGGCCAATTCTCGTTCTGCGT